GGTTTTCATCCTTCCGTTTGTGCTGTTGAAGGGTTTGACCTAGCAAAGTGCGTATCAGTGTACCCTTCCAGGCTTGAAGAAGGCGATACTGCCGAAACATCAGCTACCGTTGTGGTGTATGTGTTCCTTTTGTAAGGAAATAAACGCGTGCTAAATAACAATCTCGCGATTACTGAAAAAGAAAAGGAAAACGATGACAATACAGTATGCTATGGATTCAGTAGCACGTCATAATCATATTGTTGGTGGAGCGCGTTAAGGTGATCGTCATCGCCATCTGTACTGACAAAGAACCATACTAACGAGCCACCCCATTGTGCACATAAACTGTTCAAACGGAGGACACAAAGAGAATAGGACTTAATTCTATTGTTAAGATCGCTATAAAAGCTCCATTCCCATTGTCCTGTTCATCACCTATGTTCATCAGAAGTGTGAGTTTTTCTTTCTAATCGTTTTGCTCTGGTTTTCTAGAAGAAATATCTCACATTCAGATCATCGCCATTCTCTGCATCGTAATGCTTTTCGGCGTCATGGTCAGTGAAGCAGCAGCTTCTTGCGTTGATATTCTAGGTGATCTATTCTATACTCTTAAGCAGTAATACGATGTTCTTAGTGTTTAATCGGGGCATATTCTTTTTACCTTTCCTTAAAATATTTCGTGGAAGGAAGCGGGAAGCGCACTGAGAGAGATGCCCCTTGTCAATCAAGCCTCCCAACAGTTTGAAGTGGGAGATTTTCCATCAATCGCCGGTCACACGAAAAGTCAAGGACCTTCATGGATGATAGATGTGATATGAGGAACAGAACGAAATACTGGGATCTATACAGTATCCGACGTCGGGTCATATAATAAGCAAAAAAAAATTGTGGAAAGAAATCCTTTCTTGTTCGCCATTGGCAAAAGTTGGCCTACTATCTAACAGGTGTTCCCTTTCCATCACAAGATGAGAGTGAGCAGTGACGTCGTACACAGTGAAAAAGGAGCGCCTCCATTCTTCACGTCACATCACACTTTCATTAATCCACCGATCTGGCTATACCAAATCGCTTAATCCATGGGCTTTGAGTTATTCTCTTGGCTTTGGAACCTATTGTTTTCTTTGTTTAGGTGTGCACTGTGAGGTGTTCCGCCCATTCTGCTTTGATGAGAAGTATGCTGACATAGCGGCGAAGTGTGCTTCTACTTGCAAACTGTGCTAAGTGTCATCCGAACCTACCTGGAAAATCATGTTTGTGTTTATCTGCCGTACTACACTAGAAACACTGTGTCGTGTGTGGTAGTTTCTTTACGCGAATTTGGTTCGAACTGGTCACTCGGGTCCAAATTTGAATTTTGTCCAAGTCACATTGTCTTATTTCTCAATAAAAGCTGTTACATTTTGTTATCTAACAAGATGCATGTTGAAGCGAAGATCGGATATTTTGGAGATCTGGCGTTCTGCTGATACTAATAAAACTTGTTCCTCCCAGCGGTTTACCGCCTCGTCATGGCTGGGAGGTGTTACTGGGTGTCGGGCTGCGATGTACGGCGGGTGGATTCATCCCTCTTACATGTTCTCCCAAGGTGAGAAGGAGTCTGGTGTTTCCATCAGGAAGCCTGACTAAGAGTAAAACAATACCAGGATTCACCACCGTCCTGATGTTAAAGTCAAATGGTGGTCAATCTCCCTCTGATCCACAAGGCTGCGACAGCTTGTGGTGGTGAAGACCTGGGGCAGACTTTGGCCAGGATGACCATCTATTCCTGGGAACCACAATGGCTGGGTCAGTAAATTTTCAAAAAATGGAGGTTATGCTGGTGCCCGCACAACCATTGAGGACGTGCCATTCAAGTATCAAGTATCAATAAAACTCGTCAATTCTATTAGATTAGTGAGTATAACTTTCGAAGTTTGCAAAAACGCTTCTGTAAGTGGTCATATAGGAAGTCCTTGTGTTGCTATTAAGTATGGAACATATAATAGCCGCTCTCGGACCGCACTTCGCTCAGCGTGTGTCGTGCTAGTTCAATGCAAAAACTGTGAAAAGAGAACTCTGAGTGATGGAATAAGCATTTGGAAAAAAAGTGATCGTACACAAACACTATGATCGCTCAGTAATTGACTATATTATATCTGTAATCACAATTTCTCCATATTTATGATGATATTTGACATTAGAGGTGTTCAATAGTCTCCTTAGCGCTACAAAAACCAGGATAGTGAAACATCAACCGTGGTGGAATGAACTTTGACACAGCAAGAATGAAGAGATATAGTTATGAAATAGTCCGAACGGTAGGACCATAGGCAGTCGTCAATTCATGGGCCTTGGTATCGTGGGGGGCGCTCTCATGGAACCGTGACGTCGTTGTGGCTGCGGTCCCCATTTTCTTCTCGTTTGTCTGAATACGTTTGAAAGAACATTTCGAAGATGGAAAGAGTAAAACCGTAGATTCCATAGAATCAATAAATCTCTCGTTGCGTTGTTGGTTCAAGTTGTGTAAGACAATGTGCATGTTGTGCAATCTCAGGAATCCAGGAAGAATTGCTCAACCAGCATTCTACGACATTCGAGATGAAACGGAAATGGTTAAGCAGCAACCGAAACCACACGTTTAAAAAAACTTGGAAAGCCTTTTAGTGGACGATGAACGCGAGAAAACGAATTGGATGTGAGAAGTGCTGAGATCTGCGCAGTAGACGATAAGACGGATCAAATAAAAAAATATTTACAACCAATATCGTCCTTATATACTAATTTTTTGAGGGATTATAACACGTCAATGGAAACCTACGTGGTGCTTACCTGGTTACCTGGTTACCTGGTTATCTATTAAAAACCAACAGATGAGTTTTAAATCTGAAACAGAGATGAATGAATTAGCTGCAAGAACATCTCAACTCTGCCTTCCTGGTTTTTAATCTTACGGATGGGTTTTGCCATGGAGGTCAATCGTGCAGATTGTGACCAGGTACATTCTTATAAAATGGACGAATATTCAGGACATCTCAGAAAACAATTTTCATATTCATTCCTTCATGAACTACCAGCAACACTACATTCAGTAGGTTTTCTCTAATTTTTGTTGGTAGCCATCTCACGAACAATTTCATTTCCAATGTTGAACTGCGTTACTGTAAATGATGCTACTTTTCAAAAAAAACTTTTCGCTTTGTGAGCTGACAGACATGCGAAACGAAGGACTCTCATGGTGTGGTGGTGAACGCGTCAGCCCCGGAAAGGGTAATAGCGCGTTCGCTCCTCATCACAGAAATCTGAGTTCTGGAGTTTTGCAATTATCATCATCATTGTGATTTTTGCTTTCTGTTTCCTGTACTCAATAAAACCTTCTTAGACCATCTGCGTATGTTCCGAGGAGTTTTGTTGTCTATTCCTACTTCACAAATGTCACCATTTTTATTACCACTCGCTTATAACTAACCCTATCTGGAAAGCGCGGTGATTAGAGCATCGATACAATATGCATAGTTATTGATTTAACACCGCCTACACTAGCCAAGTCCATTATCACGTCTACATCATCAGAACTGGTGCCAGAGACGTCCGGAAAACATTTCATGCCATCCGCAAGCACCAACGATTACCTGTGTTGAGGGTTCTGAAACGGAGGGGGAAAAGTAGAACAGTTCCAGGTCCACAGGGAGAATTACCAAGGCCAGAACTCCATGATTGAATAAGGCAAACAAAATCCTCAAGTAGATTTGAACCAACAAGTAAATCCAAACACTTTCGTAAGAGACCTGTACACCGTAGTAGGTGTAGGATGCTCGTAGCAGCATAAATGTGAAGACGGATCATAGCAAAGAAAATAAAGAAAACCAAAAATCCTTCTAACAGTTACATCCCGTCGAAGAAATTGGATTTACTGTCGCTCCACATGGCAAGCTCTTGCTCCACTTTAGCTCGAGGGTGATATGGTTACGCAATCCCAATCTATTTGATATATTGGATCAATATAACAATTGGAAGTAAGCACTAAAGCACTAACCTTATTCATCTCTATCAGTTTTTGTCCCATTCTACTGATTATCGAGAAGAACCCAAATCCAGTGAGAACGATTAAGATTCCGATAGCCACTGAAATATTTTGGTGGACACTTTCGCTCGACTACTGTCTATTTTTAATGTGAAACCTTACATTCAAACTCCTTCCGGTATGCTAGCCCTATGTAAACTAACACTTTTGTTTTAATGGGATGGATTTCTTTGCAGCTGATCTTTCCAGTCTGTGCAAAATACCCCAGAATTTTTGCCAACCCATATTTTTTAGAATTTCTTGCTATAAATGTGTTACAGGGCACGTGTAGCGCAGTGGCAGTGGTATTCTGCTACACAAGGGGGGCTCTGGAGTACACAAGGGTTCGACCCTTGGCTCCAGGCTCACCCAGCGTTGGATCCCTGCGGGGTCAGCAAATTGGTACCATACCTGCTTGGGAGGATAGCGGCACTTACTCGCTACATCAGTAGTCCACCACTAATCAGTGTATAGTGTATGTATCAAATAATAACTGTGGCTAATGAAGTCGAACGCATGGTGCATTCCTCAGAGATTAATCAACGCCAAGAGCTCTATATTTTGTCTTTTATTAATGCGTTTCACTGAAGATTCATTTTCTTCCTAAAGTACCATGGCGAGAAATATCAAGTCGAAAATAGTAAAGCTGTCAGCTGAAATCCCACCCACGCAGGCCGAATAATACTAACCAGGTGAAACATTGATGTTTCTGCTTTAATATTCGTTGACCATGAAGTTGGTGGTCCTACAAGAAACAAAAGGGAAAAAAAGCCGACAGGTGCAAACTAAACGATGGGAGCCTTGTCATAAGCGGACAGAAGACCCAGCCGCGAAATGTCAATGGCGTTTTACAGATTATGTAAGGCATGAGACTCGCACGCGCCACCATGCTCGAATTAAATCACCACCATGGATCAGTACTGCGGAGCAAGCAAGAGGAAGGTAAATGTGCTGGAGTTCGCACAATTCGTGGAAACGGTCAATCCAAGTATCCAAATAATGACAGTGAAGGCTTTTTGCACAGGTTCTCAACGCGATAGAAAAATGCAGCACTACATGCCATAGAGACAAATTTTCTTTCCATAGTTCTCCATCTATTTTAGCGTTATGAATCCAAACTTTGCCCATTCATTTAGTCATTACTGTTTATACTTTTATCTCTTTATTTTCCTTTATCTATTGCAATTAGAAAGAACCATACTTGTCGCAGATAAATGTTTTCTGATCAAAACTTCCCTAAATAACGAGCCGGTTTGGTTAGCAAGAAACCAATTACAGAAATGGTCTCCAATACGTAGATGAACGTCGCAAGAACCTAAACATTAGCGCATTTTCAAAGCCAGGAATAAATTTACAAATGAATATAATTCTAGCTGAGTTTGTTCTCGTTTAAAGAAGGTCTCGAAAAAGTTAGCTAGCGATCTGAAGCGACTTACCTGTCGATGAAAATGAGATCCCAAAAAACTACCAAACGGTGCCAATGTCACTCCAACCGGTATGGAAACCTTCAGATAGTCTAATGCCAGCTTTGACACATCCCCCTTCCAAATAAGACGGTAGTACGCTCCAACCAATGAATTAAGACCTAAAATTGGCTTGGCCTGCTTTAGACTTCATCGTACCATTCAGGGTATTCTCTAGCATTTGATATGAAGAGCGGAAATCCTTAAGATGTAGAAGGAGCTAACGCGAAAACGGAGAAGAGAGAGGCCCCACCCATAAGCACAACTGTCGTAGGAGTGGCAGTTTTTTCACTGACACGAAATAGCAATGTGACAATGGAAAAAATACAAATATCAACACCAGAGCCAGCGAACGCTGTGAAAATTCCTGAAGAAAAAATTGAATTGACGGTCAGATTTATTTGCATCACGGTAAAAGCTCGTGGTCCATCAGCCCGAAATTTCCCATAGGGAGTCTCAGCCTCCAGTGTTCAACCGTTGATCGCTAACTAAATAGGTGAAATTAACGTTACAAGTGTAGCTTTGGAGTGGATGGAATGTCCGTCCGATACGTTCTCAATCGCTTTAATTTTTGCGTAATGACAGCTACAAGGTCGAGTTTTCGAATATTTGGATATTCGATGACCTTAGAAAGTAGAAGTGAAACTTATTTGTAAGAGACATGTACGTTGTATTCGCAAACTCATCCAACAGCTTACTACGCCGTCCTCGCTATATCTCACAATGTAAGAGAGTAAACTATCAACCGAATACAACCACAGTGATTCTGAGATATTTGCAAAACTCTGGACCGCAGGTGTCTGCTGTGGAGAACGAACGCGCTATTACCCTTTCCGGTGCTAACGCCTTCACCACCATACCATGCGGGTCCTTCGTTTCGCCTGTCTTTCAGCTAGTTCTGTCGATTAATGCCAACGGCAATCATCCGTTAGTGGGACTGATCTTGGGAGTCCAAATCAGCATTGAACCCAGTTAACCTGAGGCTGCAGTTAAAATCATAATAAGAGTAATAGTGCGTTCGTTCACTACCGCAGACACCTGTGTTCCGGAGTTTTGCAAATATGTGAGCATCATTGTGGTTGTATTTCGCATGACACCCTGCAATGAAAAATTATAGTAGGCGGCAAATAAAAGTTAACATTACGATTTCAACCGAATGTAGAAAGTCGCGCTTAAATTCTTTGGCTCTACCTCCTATGAAACCAGTGGCAACCAAAACCATGGCCTTCCAAGGTTTGAAGTCGATAATCGTCTTGTAAGTCGTTCTTTTCCTTTGGGAGTTCAAAATGAATAATGCGATGGCGAACGACGTCCATATGGAGACAAATAGCATTTTCTTCTGTGCAGCATCGAGCAACGGATCGAACTATAAAACTCTCGAACTACTTTTAAGAAGATATGAATGAAGAAACGAAAAACAATCTAAGCTTTTGGCAAGCCTACTATTTCAAATCCAAAAACTAATCCTGGGATCGAACCGATCGTTCCGCATAGCACAGCTCTTTGTTCAATCTGCACCTGCATAAATACGATGACGAATAAAGCGCACATCATTCCTGAACAATGTTGGTATTACATTCAGCGATGAACAATCGATTTCGCTTTAGGGCTCGATATTGTAGATATTGGACTAAATTTTATGGATTTGCTCAAACTAGTTGCAGAAAGCTCTACATGTATATCAAATCCGTTTAGTGGCTAGACCTGTGAAAAAATCTTCGCTTCGTGAAAGGGCTTTATAGGTCGAAGAGCCCAATGTTCATCAGACATTGTTTGAACTTTGAAAACGAGTTAGTTTATATATCGAAGTATAGGTTTCATAGAACTTTTCAAGAACCAAGCAATTTTGTAGACAACAACCATTTTAACAAATATTGTTAGATGTGTGCTAAAACGCGACTAAACATGTGACTAAAACTTCCATGAATAACCCGTTAGCTAGTGGTTTGATGTGACCTGCTGACAGAAAGAAACCTCTAAGGTTTTACAATAGCTAAAGTGTCTGTTATGTAGAAGGTTACTTTATTCGTGGGCTCTCGACTCGAATTATTGCGGGCCTGAAAATGGTGAAGGCCCCGAAACGCTAGCTACAATAAAGGCTTGGTAACAACTTCGTTTAAACCCATAAAAACGAAAAAAAATGTCGAAACTACGATGATGCTGAGATATTTCCAAAACTCCTAAGCTTAGTTGTCTGTGGTAGGGATGGAACTCGTTATTGCCCTTTCCTGGGGATAACGCTTTCACCACTACTTCATGCTGGTCCTTAGTTTCGCCTTTCTCTCAGCTAGTTCCATCGATCACTTGCCATCAACAATCACCCGTCAACCGGATTGATCCGGGGAGAATAAATCGGCAGTGAACCCTGTTAAGCTGAAACTGTAGTTGAAATCACAATATCAACTTTTTTACTTACTGCCTGCTACAATTTTTCACGACACGGTATTATGTGAAATACAACCATAATGATGCCTAGATATTTGCAAAGCTGCGAACCGCATTTGAAAAACGGAGAGATAAAACGGCCGAGAAAAAGGCGAAACGAAGGACCCACATAGTGTGGTGGTGAACGCATCAGCCCCAGGAAGGGGTAGTAGCGAGTTCGATCCCGATCGGAGACGCATGCGGTAAGGACTTTTGCAAATATCTCAGCACCACTGGAGTTATATTTCACAGTATACTCTGCCATGAAAAGGAATAGTCAGTAAATAAAAAAAGTGACTACAATGTCGACACCTTTTAAGTCCGGTTTCCAACGAAGGTGAGGAATGTTTGAATCAGTAGAATCAACGTGGGACAGCTGTGGCCTATTAAATATAATGCATATATGGTTATGTGCTTTTTGTTATCAATCTTTTCGTAGAAATATTTGATTTCTAGATTTCCTATCACGGACTTGTTAATTTAGAGTGTGTTAAGTGCTTACACGATCACAGTCGACTTCACGAAGACAAAACTCGTTTCCGATTTAAACACGGCGACGATGGTCTTTACGTCAACAAGCGACAATTTTTTGAAAGTTAGAGGATATGTGGAGTTAACAGTTTCCCAAAATAATAGAGGAGGTTTTGCTTTAGCCATAAGGATAAGGCTCTCTGGCTTGAACAATCAGGATGCATAATGCATTCGACTTCGTCAAGCATGACAAACATCCTTAGAGGTGACTGAGTGCTTATCTGGCCTAAACATTGACTCGCGATAGCCTACTGATGTATCGAATCGGCGCTGCTATCCTCCCAGACAAGTCTGGTACCAATTTTCCGATCTCGGAGGGATGGAAGGCCTGGTGATCCTGGGACGTGGGATCGATCCCATGTGTATCGCAGGGCTGTTCTAACCACTGTGTAACACGCACACTTAGAGATGTAATGTTGCTGATATTTGATGTATTCTATTAAGGTTCGCTATCGAAACATTACTATCAGCTAGATTTTTGATGTATGCTGATAATTATTCTTCTATAACCATAGAAGCGGTACACTATGTGGTTATATGAAAGATGCATCCTTACATCTATAGTGGGTACAGGTGCCTCTTTGGATGAGCACTTATTGAAGAGAAGAGCCCATCTTATTGATAGTCTTAGGAAAAGTAGGATAGAACTTCTCAAACAAGTCGCCCAGCCATCCACCAAAGGCTAGGTAGTGAAAATTGGTAGCGCAACAGAATCGGAACACTACGACGGTGTTAAAGTAGAAAGATAAGATGAACATCATTATTGCGTCAACGGTTTACGATGTGACGATTTCCCCTGGGTAATCGAAATCACAAGTGATTGAAAGCCATAACCAGTTAAAGCTGTTCTTAATAGTTTAGACACTTTTTTAGCCCATTGTTTAGATGAGTATGGATATTCTTCCAGTTTACCACTCGGATGTAACAGACGGATATACGACAGATATATCATGAGCACACAGAAAAAAAATCGCATTTAATACATACGTCTACTTCCGTTGCTTCGGAATTTTGAGTGAATGGATACCGTGCGCTTCCCATTTCGCTGAACAAAGCCATAAAAGCGTTTCGAAGGAATTGAGACGATGTGTAGGATGTTCCAAGGCAATTATAGAGCAGTGGGATAGGACGTGCGCTTCTGAACGCACTAGAGTGGTTGGCACTAGATACAACCTTTGTGGGCAAGATTATTTTGATACTTGGATACTTCGATGGCCCGTCTTCACTGCTTGTGCAGGCTCCAGCATAATTTCCACTATTTCGAGGTTTTGCTGGTTTAGCCACTGTGGTTTCTTGGAGTCCCTAGGTCAGCCTGGTCAAAGTCTGCCCCAGGCTGTCACCATCACAAGCTGTCGCCGCTCTTGTGGATCAGAGGGGGATTTGCCACCACACGACTGGTTTGATACCAGGACGGTGGTGGGTCCTGGTATTGGTTTACTTTTAGCTGAGCTTCCTGACAGAAGTGCTGGATTCCTCTTCAACTTGAGAGATCCACTGGAGGGATGAATCTCTATTCTACATCGCAGCACGACATCCATGAGCACCTCTCAACCACGCGGTAAAGTCACCAGCACAGCTTCTACGTGAAGCTTACTTATTGTGACCAATAAGTTCAAGGTGTTTTTGTTGTTATTAGTCATTATCGTTAAGCCTTATGTAAAATATATATTGTTCACATGTATAAATGGCACTTTGTTTATTGCAAAATAAATGTAAAATGAAAAGTTGATCAGATTTGATGACTGTTTCTAAACAGAGACACATTGATGGATGCAAGCGTTATCAACACCGGGCCACTCCGAAGAAGTCTTTTTACTGGTCTTCTCATTATCTTGTCATAGTGAGAAGCCATCTCTAAATGTCGAACTCCAATGTTCAAGCGAAGCAATTCTGCTCCTCTCCACGGTAACACTCACCATACAGCAAACTGTCTTCATGAGCGACAGACCCTTTCCAAAGAAATGAACTCTTCCAAAAAAAAGTTTTTCGTAAATAATAAGGCGTAGAGTAAAGCTCTTCATAAGCCACGTTTTTCGTTTGACCTATGTTTTACAAAGAATTGATAGAATGCAAAGACTGTTGTGAAGACCTCTGTGAACCACTTAAAGAGTGAGCACCCATTTCAGTATTAACGGTCCGATAAATGATAGGTGCCATTTCGACTGCGTAACTCTATCACACGTTGCCTTACTTTGGGCAGGTTACTGGCGTATAGGTTTTTTTTGTAATGAACTAGGTCATTATGTCAAAGTCGAAGCATGACTATGCATGGCTGAGACTTGCTTAGAAAACTCAACAGCTAAAATGCACTCACAGATGCTTTATAAGACACCTACGAATAACGAGCGAGATATTCACCTACTGACTGCATAAGAAGTGAAAAATCCCTGGCAGTGATAGGATCGATGTGTAGGCCGAGTGTCATGAATGGAAACGCAACTGCACCTCCTCCTTCAGATGTCATTCCTAGAAAAGCATATTTTGACGTGATAGATGGAACTATTTTATGCACCATCGCTAAAAACTATCGACGATTTAATCCTCAAAATAACAAAGCGATAGGTCGGTCTTTTGCGAGAACATTCTTGCTCAATTCTCATGAAGTCGTTTAGCCCATCTGTTACATAGAAAACAGTGTCTTCGTTCACTTTCCACACCTGCAACGATAGCTCCCAGAACCATGATCAACGGCATGTGCCAGTGCGTTCTGAACAGTGTCAGCCAACCGTGTCGGATCGCCGTCAGCCACCACAACGTCTAGAAGCACACTGACATGTAGAGGATCATTTCACCATGACTCACGAGTGTTATTAGTCTTTAATTCACATAGCGAATTAAAGGCAGAGTTTCTTCGATAAGCAAGCTGTTTTCATTGAAGTGCTCCCGTTACAACAGGAGTTATGGAGAATAAGACAGAAAGCAGTGTTGCCATTCGAACTGAGTATGAGTGGTTAACAAAAAATACAAGCATCAGTACGAGTTTTGAAGCTCTATTCTATTGGCATTCAACGCTATCGTGACGTCGTACCTCATGCACAGCTCAGAAGTATCAGCGTTTACACAATTTTTGCTTAATTTGAGAAGGCAGTAGACAAATAGTCTATTTACAAAGCGAAACGCAGAGCTTCCGTAGTCTCATGTATCTCTTAGATCATTGGACAACACCTCCAGAAATCTCGTTTTGGTGATCAAAATGGACGCTCTTTAGAAGTGGAAGGTAGAATTATGGAAATGTCCTACCTGCATGATAACTACTGGGAAGAGAAATGCGATGTACTTGCGATATTGTATCATAAAGCGTTGCATATAGTCAGCACCATCCGGGATCTGTTGTTTTGCTGAGTCGTCCAGGTGTTGTCCTATAATTTTAAGAATGTTCTAGTGCTAGAGTTCTACGCCTATGTCTTGAGGATGACTCAGTAAACATTTCCTTCACATTAGGTTACGGTAAGTTTATTTATGAAATCCTTTTGACAAGTAAGGAAGCATTAAGACTATAAAATAACAAAGATGACGCTGAAAATGAGTTTTTCAGACTTGTGATAAAGATTTTGATCCAGTATAACTACTGATAAAAGCGCAAAGCTCTTAGTGTTGAACAATTCCTAAGGGATGCGATATGCATTCGACTTCACTAGGAACCGTTGCAGATGATTGGATGGACATCCGACTTTTACAATAATTCACGGTGGTCTGCCTATGTACTGAGCCAGTGCTGCTATCCTGGAACGGTATCGATTTGCTGACTCCGATGGGATGGAGGGCTTGGTGTCCACGAATGCCGCGATCTGTCCCATGTGTGTATCGCAAGGCACCTCCGACCACTGCGCCTCACACGCCCCTCACGATACAGCGGTCCCTCTGACTGCTGAGAGTAGAAGAATGGGGCTGAATAACCTGTTGTCGATACCAGGGTCAATAATCCTTGCTAGCAGTAATTTCAATACCAACTTTAACTGAGCCTCGGTATGGGTAAATGATGTGGTTTATGAATAAGCTAGAACGAAATTGTTGCAAATCTCTATTGTAGTCAACCTCTTCTTCGCCTTCCTCAGAGCTTGGAGTTCTTGCTCAGAGCTTTTTGCTCAGAGCTTTTTGTGCTATTAACCTTTACATAAATTGGCAGCTAACGGCTTAACCTAATAACCCGGTGTGTAGTGGAGTGTCATAGCAATGTGAAAACTCAATGGAACACATTTCGCTCACTAAAGCTTCAGCTTCTTCAAATGTCTTCCAATACGTGAAGAGGCATTGACTTCAATAATGCCATCCCAATACCAGCAAGCTGTGCTGAGTTCCTATCTTATAAGTTCGGTGTCAAACCCACTCACAAATATTTAGAACTTATGTTGTGTAAATCGTACTTCTGAGCATGACATGTTTACAGTTCCATGTAAAGCGAGCCAGAAGTGCGACCACCAAGATCTCACAATATCGGGACTCACCTTCAAGAAAATACTTCCTGAAGAACGATTTATTTTCGGTCGGCTCTGAAGTCAATCAATTTGCTTAATAGAATGATAAAAGTGAAATCAATTCCCAAAAGATCTCACTATTCTTACCCTCATTAGTGTGCTTGTTTTCCATACTGCAAACCTGAAAAAATATGGCATTTTTCATCGCCGCTAGTAAAAGGATAAAGGATAAAGCTCTCGGCGTTGATTAATCCTTGAGGGATGCGCCATGCATTCGACTTCATTAAGCATCGTTGGAAGTGACTGAATGCATATCTGGCCTTTACAATGATTCGCGGTAGCCTACCGATGTATCGAGCCAGTGCTGCTATCCTCTCAGACAAGTCTGGTACCAATTCGCCGACCCCGGAGGGATGGAAGCGTTGGTGGACCATGGGTGCGGGAATCGATTCAACGCCTCCAACCACTGCGTCACACGAGGCCCTATCGCCGCTAGTAGGGGAAAGATATTTGTGTTAAGGATGCAAGATATTTGATAAGAAAATGGAAAACGTCGTTAGAATACAATTAAAAACATAAATTTCATATCAAAAATGGTACTGTAGGGAAATAAGAGTGCCATGAGTAGCTATACAACATTGGTTTTGCCGTTTCTCTGACCTCAGCTGTATGGCCTGCCCTCCAGCGGGCGCCATGTTCCCTGGCTCAAAGAACTCACTAGACATCATATCGTTCTTCAAGGATCTTCGCGATGAATTCTGGCCATCAAGCTGATAGTTTCGACCTGTGCGCTTAAAATCTTGTAGGACCCAGTAGTTAGTGGCCCCTTTCCAGTGATTATCGTTAGATAGCCTGGTTTTCGGCATTTTTGCATACTAGCGATTCCAATCATTGATTTGCGTCATTGGTCGAAAATTCACATTCTTCTATTACGGGAAGACTTAAGCATCAACTGTCGATAGCTCGTTCAAAAGCGCTACGTTGCCTTTCATCTTGTAGTTTAAGACAGCAAGAATCGTAGAGCCGAAAAAGTGGGCGAAAAGTCGTGGGTTTTTGTTCTTATTTGTCTTCTTCACCACATTTCCAATACTCCTAAGTGCTGACCAAGCTGCTCGCTTCTTCCATCTTAGCTCTGGGCCTAAGTCGTAGATCACGTTGATTACTCAACAATGATGATTGTAGCACTCGGAGATGATCATTTCGTTAGGCGTGAGTGGGGCGTCAATAACGAATCCGTTTCTCATGATCACCACTTTTTCACATTCAACCGAAGAAAAGTTCTTCACGAGTGTTGTCAAACTGCCCATCACTCGATGCGCTTTGCTAATCCTTGACATTAAAAGGACAATCTTAACTCTTTTATTTACTGCCTTTTTCTTCTTAATGGCAGGTTATGTTGCGAAATACAACTCGTATGAGATGCTGAGATATTTGCAAAACTCCGGACCACAGGTGTATGCAGTGGGGAACGAACACGCGCTGTTGTCCTTACCGGGGAGCAGCGCACTTCACCATTCACCCGGATGGTTACGAATTAAAAGGACAATTTTAGCAGAAAAGCCAGGATGGTGCAGCAGTCGTCAGTCGTCTATCTCTGGTATGTTATGTCGTCCCAGTTTCGAGAAAACGAGGCAACAGTGGATGTAAATAGCTTTGGTCGGATTGGACAGCCTTGTCGATCCCCAATCTTTAGGAAAATTCCATTTCGCAGTCTTGAAGTCTTGGCTGCGAAGTTCATGCTTGGTTAATGAAGTAAATCTCGTTTATAGGAAGGACAATGTTGCTGTAACTGTCTAAAGTTTCCATAACCGTTCTTGTCACGGACCATTTTAGTAGCGAAAGTAGGATGAAGTGGTCTCTCGTACATTTTTCAAGGAGTTTCATTATTGTGTGAACATTATCTACAGTAAATTTTCGAAATTCTGCCTCCTCATATGGCTGCCCTTTGTTTAGTATTTCGTGAATCCTGTTGAGGCTGATTCAAATGAAACGCTCGTGTGTGAAGACTGAAGATCCAAGTGTATTATAGGAGCGGCAAAACACAGATTGCGCAACAGCAGGTAATATCGATGGATCCTCCTTCTTGCGCAGTAACACGATCTTGCTGGTCTTCCACTGATTAGTTCCTTTGCATTCTGACAGCTAACCTTCGCAGAGTCGAGTCAATGAGTAAACGAGGACTGGCCGAAAATTGCTCAGATATTCGGTTCTAATCCATTCTGTTCACAATGAGTGTCGTATAGTTCTTAATTGACGAGATAGGGTGCTGGATCTCAGAAAGGAAATCCGGTGGGACGACATATCCATTCCTGATATGAATGGGACAGACATAACCTTTGAAGAAATGGAAGTAAGAGTCGTGACTAATTTTCTTTGTTGTCGTTCTAGAAAGCGTAACACTTCCACCTGGGCATTGCAGTGCATTCGTCTTGATTTTATAACTGAAGATGCTTCTGTAGGCATAGCGAATGGTTTTCTCAGCATCTGTAGCATCGGCGATTCCTGCTGCTGTGCTATCATTAAGATATTTTATCGTTTTTCTGATCTGTTTTGCAAGTTCGGGAGTGAGTTGGCGATCGCCTACGGCTTATGGAATACCACAAGGGTATGAGCACGTGTTTTGAGGGCAAACGTCCCTTACTAACGGTCGAAATCATAGCTTGTGAATAAGTAGTTCGTACTATTCTTACTATCATATGTTCTTCATCGTTGTTTCCTATGGAACGGTTTATTCCGAAAAAACAGCTGGTTCTCCTGAACCCGTTTCTATATACGGTTGTATTGACAATTCATTCCTTGAATTTTCTCCTGTTCTCTTTTCAAGGGAACAGGATTTCCGATACCATGACTTCTGTTGTTGTAAACTGCAATGATCTGGTAACCAAAGCAAATCCAGATGGCCCTCCAAATCTAACGAGTCCGTCCAATCTTAGCGTTCAAGTCGATAAGCCTGTGCAAAGAATGCTTCAACTACTTTTTAGAATGCTTCGACTACTTTTTCTTCATAGCTTGATAGTGGAGCATAGATAACGGAGATTATGAAGACTAGTATTGATCATATCTCTTCGACCTTAAACGTCGGACTCGGGTTGTTAATTGTTTAAAGAAATCGATATTCATGGCCAAATTCATGCTAAGCGAGGACATTAAGGCGGTTGACTAATCTACTGTCGCGTGCTACTGCTAAAAATTCTTCCCGGGTCACATGAACAACATTAAACGGTCGTTGCCGTCTCATCCCAACCAATCCGATTACGTTGCCTTCAACTTGCTCTTTCCATGTCTTCAAAGAGGAATTCAGATACTGGTATGCATACGTTACAAGTACGAATCGTTACGTTAGTCTTGCAAAATTTAGACAGCCTAGAACAGCTTTGAGATTTTAGTGGCTTCTTCATATTCACCCTATTCGATACCGCTGCATCAGAGACCAATTGGTAGCTAGTGGTATGAGGCCCACTTATTTTACTGTGTTTAATTATTGTTGACCATCCGTATCTTGACGAGCTCTTGTATGAAGAGATCGATCATGCGTAGCCTTCTGGGGTCTCCATATCGTACATAGGGAGCATAGTCATTGGACCCGAATGCTAACCTCCTTTTGTGCACTTCATAATCACTTAATTGTAGGCTTTTGGCCCAATTAATGATGACAAGTTCCGTGTATATGATAGAATGGCCACGCACCAACATATCTGCATAGATGCGGAAGGTACATATCGATTGAGAACATCAAGAATATAGGGCCTCTACGATTCTTCTTTGGAACGTTCAAAAGCCTTACTTAGGGACAAGATCGCTTCTTGACCCTGTTTAGCCTCCTGTGCGCTAAATGGCATATAAACGATATTTGGTAGAGGAAGTACAAAAGCATGAATAGAGAACGAAAAGCAGCGGTCCATTTCTGATGGTTAAATTCACTTGCTGAAGAAAAAATGGCTTTCCGTG